TTGCCCGTAGTTTTACACGCATAGTCGTTTTTATCTTTATGTTGAAATGTTAAAAAATCCTTTCTTAGCGGATACTTGTTTCAAACCTATGTTTCATTTAATTTGATAGTTTAAAAAAACTTTAAAAAAATTTACTTCCTAAACTTTGTAGTTTTTAGATTTAGCTGTGCTATGATAGTTAGTCAAAACTAAATACTTACAAATAGAGATATTATTTATTTAATATAATAAAAATATTGAATGTTAAATATAGTTAATAAATCATAAATTATTAAGTCTTGACTTTGAAAAGCAAGAATTAAAATTAGTAAAAACTCAGATAACTTTTTAATTGAATCTTTTTAATTTAAGAGTAAGAAATATGAAATGTTATTTGCGTACATATTTTATTATATCCTTTAAATTTGAATTAATTGACTTATCTTTACCGTACCGCATTCGTCTAGTTCGCTAAAGGGACGTTGTACTCACTGGTTGATAGTAAAATATTGCATCTCCGGAAAACTGTAAACATAAAACGATGTTAACTTTCGCCCTACCCCAAACTCGGGTTTCCCTGTCCCCGGGCGCCCTCCGGGTGTTGTATTTCCAGAAAATCTGTTTATGGCGGCCACCCAGCCTTCTGAGCTTCTATAATTTACGATCAAAGGAACATTCCCTATAAGTTTCGGCCCTATTAGAAGTTTCGGTGCGATAAATTAGTGATTAAAAGCACTGTTCATTAATAGTTTCTAATAATAAGAAATATTATGAATGAATTTCCTATTTTTATTATAAATTAATATTAATTAATGCTATATTAAAATATAAAAAAATATTTGTTATCGAAATAATGCATAGCATCTAATCATATAGCTCGGATATGTTCATATATCCTTCTAGCTGTTCGGTAAATACAATCGAATATTTTTTAATATATTAATTAAATATATTAAAAAATGAAGAAGGGCCAAATTAAAAGTACCCGTAACCGGCGAGCGTGTATGAAAAGATTGACGAATGTGGAAGAAGCGAAAGAGGTTTGTTTGAATCGAAGCATTTGGCGTTCCATTGTTTCTGCCTACCCTAATGGGAGACAGGCGTGACCGATATGTATGTATGTAATTAAATATATAGAAAGAGGAACCAACAGACAGAATAAGACCGTACAGTCATTTTGATACGAATACAAATGTTTGTATTGTTCTGAAATCGAAACGATGTCCTCTTAAAAGTTTTTAAAGTTGAAATATTTAGTAAGTGGTAGAATTATAAGCATGACTCTCTTAGACAGTTCACCGTCATATTATTTGTAAAATAAGCTTTCATTAAAGTTTTATGCTCAAAAAGGAAACGCATTGAGAAGAACTATCTATAGCCTGCGAGAGAATATAATATATTATACTTTTTATATTAATGATAGCGATTTGATTTCTTTTTGTATTTTAACTCAAATTTTTACTGTTTTTGAAAAAAGTGCATAAGGTCAAGAAAACAATTAAGCATTTTGTAATTATCTAGAATTTGTTAAAAGTTCAATTTTTAGCTTAATTTAAAATACCATTAATTTAATAATAGTAGTAGTAGTTAGTTTATTTAAAATAAAAAAATATATAATCTGTACATTTCCTATTAATTGTATGGTAAACATTTCCATCGATTTCTAGTACTAATCTTAGTTCTATATACTTTTTTGATCGGTATAAAAACAGGATCGAATGGCATCAAGCAAAGTTTTTGTGTAAATTCAATATTTTCTTGCTGACTGTAAATTTTCCTGTCCTCGATCATCCTTGATGTAAGTTAAAAATAGTCTTTTAAGGTTTTTATGTGGCTACAACGCTTGGATACATCGTCAAATATAATGTGATACACACAAATTAATATTATGTTCTACTAAAACAACTTCAATCAAGGCAAGACTAGAATTTTAATTTAAAAATTAAACTACTAATTCGATTTTAATGAAATTTCCATTAAATGAATCTTAAAATATATCCTTTCAGATAAAAAAAAAAAAGAATTTTCCAAATCGGTTTACGACTGACGAAGTTATGAGGTGACTAATATAAATATCACTGAATTGAAAACCTCCTCCTTTTTTGAACTCGGTTAAAAAACTTCAGATAAAATGCATTGCAATCACTTTGGGTGTTTGAAGGATCTCTTAACTCTTACTGCGCTCTGTCTACTCATATCAAAGTCTAAACAAACCCAGTCAATCAAGTGTTATGTTAACTAAACGGATATCACGCTCAATAATAGAGCTTTCGACGTGAATGGCGAATATTCCGGCGTCCAATAAATTCATACATCTCTTGTATATATATGTGTATATGGGTTTATATAGTTATAGTAGACGGTGACCATAGACATAGATTAAAATAGATACCGCAAATGTAATTTGCGTATTAATTTTTGGCCTTAAATTGTATATAAATAAATAACAGAAATTTAATAAATTTTATTGGTTTGTTTGAATCGAAGCATTTGGCGTTCCATTGTTTCTGCCTACCCTAATGGGAGACAGGCGTGACAGATATGTATGTATGTAATAAATTTTATTTTTGGTCTTAAATTGTACAAAATTACTTAACAGGAATTAAATTAGTTACCGATGTAATTTTTTTTTATGAATTCAGTGTCAATAAAGCTACTTAATTACTATTAAATGTTTAGATTCTTAATTAAGTGCAACAGAGTCTAATTTTGATTCCGAGTTTCTAGAATTTATCTTAAAAAAGTTTAAGGATGTGACAAAAACTGCATTGCAGATGGTATGTTTCTGAAGACTTTTTAGTGTAAAGAGGTTTGTTATTAATAAATATAATTTGTAACAGCGACGCAACTAGTAATTCTTGTTTATTATCATTTTTGATGTAATATAAAAATTATTCGTAATCCTAAGAATAACGGAATTTTGGTTCATTGATAAAATTAAATTAGTAGCATAATTTACATAATTATGTATCTAAATTACATTTGATGTCGACACCTAATAGTGTAACTGACTAACAAAACATTAAAATATGTTTGTAAGATAAAAATTGTTAAAAAATTTTTTTAGGTCGCTGCCGACTGTTTGAGTACCTAGGATGTTGGCTGCATCGCCAAGTTGAATAGAGATAGAAGTTTACCGACAAGCGTAGAGTTAATTAAAGTTGAGGTGCTTGCGTCGTCTACCTCTATGTGCGTCTGTGATAGTGGCATTGTTGTAGTCTCGAATTCTTGATCTATAGTGCTGACACGATGCGTTGATGACTCAGCCAATTATACGTCAAATAGACGGTGCTAATGTATTATACAGCATGTTGGCGCGGGGTGTTCGTATATTTTGTATGTTTATTTGTACAAATAGCTATTGAGAATAATAATATTGATTAGAAAATACAATAGGTATTAGTAATAATTGATTTTTTGTAACGTGAAATGGGAAACAAACTGACTGCCTTCCGATCCAAAAGGGACAAACATCGCTTTTAGTTTTTAGTTTCTGGGCAGCATTGAGTCATTCTTCACTGTAAGATTCAAACGTCTTCATGCTTTTCAGTGTAAGGGTGACTCCACTAAGTTATAGGGGTCAAGTTAGAGTATAATTCCACGTATTTTAGTTTCGAATTACTTACTAAATACTTAGACTGAATATTTTATCGGAACAAGGGTACTCCCGGGTCGTTATCGGTAACAGTTCACGTGTTCCTTTTAAATTTAAGAGTAGATTTTTTTAATGGGTAAAAATGAAATAGTACTATCGGTTTACGCTGGCGAGGCATCAGTGATAGATGATAGGTGAAGATGAAGGCAGGGCAGTTGATTCATCGTCGAGATTTCGACAAGAATTAATCACGATGGTTTCCAGGGGAAACATCGTGGAGATTGACCTGATAAAGAAAATTGGTAGCAATGGGGCTGTTAGAATCCATTACTAACAATCCCTTACCCCCTGGTTAACAGTAAGTTAGCTAAATGCGGAATTTCAAAGGCACTCAAGCTATATACAGGATTACATGAAATCATTGGTATTAATTATATCCTTGGAAGAATCAAGAAGGAAAACAGTGGTAACGAACCGTTGTACTTGTAATGCATCAAAATGCTACATATTAAGACAAATATAGATTCTTGTGTACCGTTAACGATACTGTGCTCGCCGAATCGTTAAAGTCGCTCAATCGAGATGAGGCAATGATCTTATAAAGGTACACGAATGCAGGCCCAAGCCAGGCGCGTTCTTTGTTGCGAAATATAATGAGGTGTATGTTTAATAATCTTTACTAATATTATATTATAAATGTGAAAGTGAGTTTGTTTGTGAATTAATGAACGCAGAGCGATATAGGCTACTTTTTATCCTGGTCACTTAATATATCTTGATCACGTGGACGAAGTCGCAACGCAAAAGCTAGTGAATTTAATTATTTGTTTGCTTAATACAGTTTGTTATAGTAATATAAAATCATTAGCATGCTTTTAGCGGTGTGTTTTAAAACATTTTGAGTCTCTCATAATAATAATTGTCAGAATTTTTAAAAATGTTTCGTCGCTTTTCTGTTTGTGCTTTTTAACAGAAAAAATTCAGTTTCATTAGCAAGTTACTATCGGAAAAGGATGTTAATGATTATTTTTTCATTCATTAGTATTCTTCTCTTAATCCGAAAAAATACAGTGTCACTATAAGATAGGTAAAGTACCTATCTTATACTGTAAATTTTAATTTACAATTATTAGTAAACATAAGGCACGAACAATAGAACAACCGAAACGAGCTCAATTATAACCATATTAATATCGATTTACGGCTGTTCAAAAATGATGCATCATCATCGGAAAATCCGGACAAAGCCAGACGGGGACATTTGTTACTCGCCGATATACGTCCTTATTGTACGCTGCGTTAACGGCATTGCGCGTGCGTTATCCTCCCATACGTGTCTCTTTCTGTCCGATAGCCCATTGTCCTCCGTCCTCGTCACTCCCGGGAGGGTCGATCTATACGACGTTAGGTACGGCGACGGTATGGTACTGGTACAGTCAAGTTAGTACGCAGGTTTGTGGCGTCTGACACAAACGTCAGTAGTGGCTGTTCAGGTTTTGGGACGCATCGCGGCCGCAAAAATGTCGCGTGCCGCACTTTTTATATGTGTTTTTACCATATTTTTGGACGTCCTACATGCTGGGCAGGTAAGAGATTATAAGTTTTTTTTTTCTATTTTACGACGTTGCTGTATTATGAAGAAAGTGTGGCACCGTTTTTGCCGGGGCCGTTAAGTCGAAAATCGATTGAACGCACCACGAATTGTTTTCACGGCGGCGGCGGGTGTAAAATAGTAGCTAGCTGAAAGGTGCCGATTTGTTGAGACACGGATGCCATAAAAGTTGTCATTTAAAGCTGTTTAATGTGGCCTTTTTTAATAGGAAAAAAATAGATTGCGTAACATGGCAATGGCTATGGGCATGGAAATATTTATTCTAGAAGCCTTTTATTTTTAAAATTGTTCATTCCAAGTATTTTAGTAAGTTTATAAATAATGAATGTATTTGTATTCCTTTTTCTTACTATATTATAATATGGCGCAATAAAAAATTTGGTACAATAATCTATATAAATACCAATTGCTGAATTAATGTAAGTGCGTCACTTCAGAACGTCTTCACGTATTTGGTAATTTTTTTTGTTGTTTTAATTTCTCAGTACAAGGTTTGTTTGAAATAAAATATTTGAAAGATCGTACAGTTTTTCTGTGAAATAATTTTCTTTATTAGTATACCCGTGTCAAGACCGAGCGGGTAGCTAGTAAATAATAAATAAAATTAGCGAAATGTTTTTGTCTCTGACATCAATGTGTACAGTCGTAAACAAATTTCTTTTTTTTTTGTTTAATATATAAAATATTTCTTTTACGGTTACGATAGCTTTAGTAAAGGGTAGAAAATAACGTTTATTATAATTTTAGTATAATTTTTGAAACTTAATATTCCGTTACGGTTAAAGGCTAACAATAGTAGCATTTACCTTCACTTTGTCTACCAATCTATATTAAGTTTTGCGTCACACTCTGAAGGGTTGAACACACCACGCTATGGTATAAAGGTATAGGACTACTTACTTACACCGAAGCGCTACCCTAGCACATTAAATTCACGATTGCCCCGAAATGCGTAGCATTTTCAACCTTAGTGAATAGGGCAATTACGTTAACGTTTGGTGCTGTTGGCAATTCTCTTAACTCTTCTTTTTATGACTAGGGACCTTATCCGGTTTTGTCTGCGAATGACATTGTAAACATTTTTCCAACTTCATCTAAGAATTCCGTTGGGATATCTTTAAATAAGAATTTCTTACCTTAAAGAACGAGGACAGACGGACAAGTAGATAGACGTGCATCAGTTATTGATTTTATAAGGTATATATATATATATATATATATATATATATATATATATATATATATATATATATATATATATATATATATATATATATATATATATATATATATATATATATAACAATAAAATGACAATACAATGACATAATCCTCCTAATTTGAAAAGCAGCATACGATGAAAGAAGGAGCTACAAATGTGAAATGAAATCGATACAGTGATATTACTCGTATATTATATTAACTATTTTATTCTAATAACAAGAAAGTTCTCATCGATTTTTATACTATATTTCATACAATATTTATTAATTAAAACACATAGATATTTAGGCATTATACAAATATATAAAAATCTTTTGACTAAATACAATTACTAAATGCTAAAGTCATTATGAAGCTTAAAAGTCTGGATAATTTTCTAGTAATTTAAAATACACGTAATGTATGGGATGAAATATATATATAGGATACTTTTCATCCCAATCAATCGATATGTCTCGAGTGTGTTGATGAAGTCGGGAACGTTCCTAGTAAATAGTATGAAATACGTCATTCGATTTGAATAGAAAACATTATCAGGTGGTACAGTTTCGAGTGATTTACCTAACGTAGATTCATCTTACCTCATCTAATGTAGTATTTTCTTGTTTATTTCTATCGCGAAGGATTTGATTCTATTTGAACAATATACTAGAGAATTCTATAAAAGTCACAATGCCTTAGTTCTTCTGAGTGGTAACACAATTGGATATTGGATTTCATCTTTTGATCTGAACTTAATATGTTTGATTATGTTAATTATTATTTGTTATTGATCATGCTTAGATCGTAGGGGTATATATACCTCTATTGAGGCATTTATGATATATCAGAAATGCCTTAATTTGACATTTTTTCTATATGAAGAAATAATGGTTATGAATTAAAAGTCGAGATGAAAGTCTATGTCTATAAAATACTATAAATAAATATGTCTATAAAGACAAAATAGGGGGCATTGGTTTGAAATTTGGATCCGAATACAACTGAAATTATGTTAAGTAAAAAAAAAATTGTATGTACTTCCTGATGACAATATTCGCGAAGTTTCTCATTTACCCATACATGATTTAGAAAACTATAAATAAAGACTGCTAGTAGATACTATATTAGTAGCGTCAGATGTTGTCTCTGATAAAAATCCGCGTAATTTAACTTTATTTATTGTAACACTCGAGGTTAGTAATAATTTATCCTTAACTTTAGTAGGTGTATTAATAACCGTTGTTCAAGATGTTTCCATTACTCTTGTTAAGATTAAGAATTGCAATACTCTTAATACAAATGTCTTGTTGGCTGTTCTTGTTGGGATATATGAACAATAAATCATCTAAGTAGCCAAAAAATATCTCCGTGAACAGACGAATGTTATTTATAAATCTACTTACCGTAGGATAAATTGAATTTCGTGTATTATTGCTAACAGTAAGAATTGAAGGAGTAGAAATAGAAATACTAAGAACTGTATGTCTATTAGATTACTTAGTATTTATTAGTGAGTAGAAATGTGTGCGTACACTACATTGTTACCAGATTGGATATTTTTTCGTAATTCTGGGTAGAAGTTTTTGTGATGCGAAATTTTAAAGAAATGGTTGGAGTAATTTTTGGAAAAAATGAAATGAGACGTGAAAAAGTTTGGATATTTTTCAACGGTTCTGGTACTTTAAACCGTATTGCAGTATTCGACAAAATTTTATTACCAATGAAGGCAGCAATATTAGAAGACATCAGGCGTAGCAAAAAGCGGCAGAAGTTTGTAATTAGATAGATACAAGTAAAACGTATCAATTTAGAGAAAAAATATCGACATTTGAGAAAAAAAAATCACATTTGGTAAGATAAATAATCACACTCTGATACTTTGTTAGTTGCAGTTGATGACAAATTGCAAGAAACAAGACTTGGTGTGTCAAATAACAAAAATAATATGAACATTTGTGAGATATTAAGTACGATTCTAGAATTGTCAAATATGAACATTCTAGAATATTGCTATGAAGCGATATTATTGTGTTGTTTGATAACGTTCTGCAATATAGTATCTACATCACATTTAGACGGAAGAGAGGGGGTCGGGTGCTTCGTGTCTAACTCAGGATCTTCTAGTGCCCACCCCAGGATGCAAAGCAAAGCTTCGTAAACATATATTTGAGAGTACATATGCGTCTTTTTTAAGTGGTCAGGCTTTTCATGAAAATTAATATTAAAAACGCTCGTGACCTACATTTAAATATTAAAGAGCTGTGAAAATATTCAGTTTTAATTTTATTCTATCTGTAATTGTGTATACCCATAGTAGTTGTTCCTGATCAATCTTAAATTGTATATTACTTTTTAATGTATATTTTTAGTATTTTTTTTGATATCGCTGTTGAATTTATAAAGTAAATAGGTGTAATAATTGAATAAAAGGGAACGCAAACAGCTCTATTAGTTTAATACTCTGGAGTCTGGATAATAGAAAGGGCGATGTACAAGTAATGAGCCTACAAGGAGCGATGTTACGAAAGCCCAGATTTGTGGAACGCTTCACTCTGTATACAATAAAAACAACATTTATTGTTGTGACACTACTAGCTACTTGCTCCGGTTTCGTTCCATATTTTCTTTTTCACTTATTCACTTTTATAAATTGAGATGTTTTAAAGTTATTTTTTTGATTTTTCAAACATTTTCGTTCATATATATCTTGTTTTTACAATTACGAACACATTTTATTAAGATCAGCTGTTCTGAAGTAATTAATGCTTTTACTTACATTTGGCGAAGGATTTTTATTTATATAAATTTATCTACACCGCGACGATGTCTGCTTGAAATGTACGTTTTTATACTGTTACTATAAACTCGTATAGGGGTTTATATTTAGTGCTAATATAAACATTTATACATAACTTCCACGTATGCTGCCATGAAATGCTGGAACAATCTTCCGTCACCAGCTAGATCACTTACCACTTTTAAACATTTGTATAAAAATATCTATGTAATTAAGTTATTTTCATAGTTTTATGTTGATTTTTACTCTTTGTGTCTTTTTGTGTTTGTATTACTTTGTTAATTTTTATTAAATTGTAATTTTATTTTATCGAATTTATATTGTTATTTATTTCTTACATTCACATTTAGACACACATCACGTTTATTCAAGAACCTCCAGAAATAAAGTTTTTGTTATTAATTTTGTACGTGTTTTGTACACCATATGTTATTATCAACTCAGTACTGAACCGAGTTGTTTTTTTTTTTTATTTTAAGTGGTGCTCTCTCTCTCTCATTCTCTCTCTTTCTCCAAAATATTGGTACCACTGAAAATCAGTATCGTGCTAAAAATAACATAACATATAGCTGAGTGATACCTTTTTTAGTGTTTTTCTTTTTCTACTTATTTATTTTTGTTTATTGTTAAATATTTTTGTAATTAATTAGGACATGAAGCACTAAATAAATATTTCTTTCTTTATTTCTTTCTAATGTGTGCGTTTCCGTTTTTCTTTGTGTAATCATTTGGGGTCGAGAGTGAATAAAAAAATAGCAATAATTTATAGAAGAGTACGATTCTTTATATATAGTAAGAATTCAATATTGAACTAATTTTTTTTTTACTTGGCTTTTTCATTAATCATTGGTAATAAAAATAAATTGTTAATGGTAAATAAAATTTTGGTAATTCTTATTCTAGCAATTCCGTAAAAAATGTATATCAAGTTAAAAATTGTTTGTAGTTATCTGATTGTATGATAATTTTAA